CAATTAACCCTAAAGCCATAAGAGAGAGAACTTTGCTGTGTAGTTAGAAGTACTGCAATTAAAAATAAGTTTTCTTTCATTTCTAGCTGAATATGTGGAGTTTCTTTACGACTAGAATAGTTGAGGAATATTCTTTTATGATAGTGTTTTATATTTTGTACGATAAAATCTAGTGGTATTCAGATGCATGCTATGTTTGTAAAAGTGAAAAGTCCTTGGACTTTTTTTAATTTATATCGTTCCTAAAATTATGTAATAATTATATTAGCACTAGCCAAAGTATCCGATGCCAGTTAAGTTAGATTGAGATTAATGTACCTAACAACAAGGAGAATGATACCTGTGTAATCCTCTGATGCAAAAAATACGACTCATAGCCATAGATTTTTCAATCTCATGCCACATAAAAAATTTCCATAGAAAAATCAGCTAATTCTCCCTCCGTATATCAGCAATAGTGCCACACAAATTTTAAAGATTTTTGCCTTTCTCATCAAATTGTCTTAAAAGCTCAAGTTCCATCCAATATTTCACCTATGTTCAATTTTAGTTTATTAAATGTGGCAAAAAAATTACTATAACTGATCAGAAATCAAATACATGCGAGCAAACACATTGACAGATATTCTTCTTTACAGATTTTGTAAAATTTACAAAAATTTTATTAACAAACTGTACGATTTGAAAGCGAGTAGTGGCAACACTTCTGGAAAAATGAGTGCGAAAATGAGTATTTTCGGAGTTTTTTAATTAAGTCGTGCGAAGATGGGAACACTCGAAATGGCTTCCCACTAACTTTTAGAATCAGGAATAATGTGTTTAATGTTTGGCAATGCTATTTTTATTTCATTCTGAAACTTAGAAATTTTTTGTTAACAAACTGTAAGATTTGAAAGCGAGCAGTGGCAACACTTCTTGAAATAAAGCAGATTTTCATCTCCAGCCTGCGAGACTGTTGCCACTCCGGAAAATAAGGACGGAAATTAGCGTTTTCAGAACTTTTAATTAATATCTCTGATTTCACCTATTTTGGGGGAGGAAAAAAGTTGATGTGGAGCTTCCCCAGGATCCAGAAACGAATTATAGAAAGTTTTCTGACGATAGCTGTAATACTGACTGAGTTAATCGCGAACAAACACACACGCAAACATTCTTCTTTGCATATATTTGTAATAATAAAATTCCATAGTCAAGAATACACTTAATTTTCTAACTGTATGTTCTTTTCATTTTTAATGGCGACGTTATCTTATTTGAAAGTACGTGGAATTAAATCCACAGCCCCGTAGTCAAGTTGTTTTTCTCGTTTCTTGTACACGTACAGTTATAGAATGTTCTGGAAATATTTAAAGCGAATTGGATTGGCCGACGAGGCTGTCGTCATTTCTTTGAAGCTCCGCCTTTCCAGAGGCTATAAAGGACTCGCAAAGGAATATCGGGGGCTTTTTCTTAAATGTCACGATGCAGTAAACTTCATACAAAAAGTTATTAGTAATTCTTTTTATTTACTCCGGATATCTGATTTTGTAACTGCTAATTCTTCTGAATAATATAATAAATGGATCATGTTTTTTTTAAAACTTATCGTCTGATAATTTAAGCTACGACTAAAGCTGGTACATCACATATATATATTAGTTAAAACTAGTTCAAAGGACTAATATAATTCGCTTTACAACTTCTATTTTAGAAAGAAAAATAAGATTTTTTTTTGTATATTTAAAACTGCGAATTTTATGATTCCAATAATGCGATCACTAGAATGCTATATGCTTTATTATTATGATCTATGATTTACATTTTGCGAACTGTTTTGATGTTGTTTTAAGTTGTTATGAAATGAATGAACGTTAAGGCATAAGTTGCTTACTTTAGATATTATTTCAGTTACTTCAGCTTTTATTTCTGCCATTAGCTTTGACATCAGCATCTCGGTTAATATGATTCAAAAACAGTGTAAACTGTTCATGAAGTTCGGCATTGAGAAGAAAGCGTTTGAATCACATGCTTTCAGACGATCCCATTCTTCAAATACGATTAGAGATCATATTTCCGAAACAACATAACCATAGTACTTACCTGATTTAGCCTGTTTTTTCGTTAATTGTTACACGTAAATAAGGATAAAGTTATAATCATTAGGAAATATATCGGTCGTGGTTTAAAAAAATCGTTTGGCGAAAGTCTGTTTTTAGCACTGCTTAAAAATTAGAATGCTAAAAATGTCTGCTTTTTTGCATTGCTAATATGGTGGCCCCTACTTAAATATGAATGGCTGCAGGGTCAAACGCCAACTTACCTAAGTCTGACCGCAGTTTCTGGAAATTATTCACATTCATTGTAATATTCGAAAAGCGCTCATTGAAAGGGAGCGTGGTAGTGTGAAATTTTAAGTAAGAAAGTCACCTCCGTTTGTCTAAGAGGATTTCAGAAAATTTTGTTGGAAGGAAATTGCAATTCCCCCCCCCAACCTCCGGAAGAAGAAAGGTCTTGTGTGTAATAACCCTGAAAATCGTTATTTATTCCAAATCTGCCTCAAACTAAAACTGCTTTTTCGCCTAATTTTAAATAGTTGATTGAAATCGATACCAAGCTGTTTAACTAAATAACCCCTTAGTTGGCGACATTTCTCTGTTACTTATTAATTTTTAGAATCATGTGTGTCCTTATTTATCAAATGTACCTTTTCTTGGAGACTTTAGTTTAAAAACTTGTAATAATCTGATCATATTAACCGAATTTTGAATCACAATAAGCAACGTATTTTCCGGTATATATATATATTGTTTTTAAAGCAGGAGACCTGAAAAATGTGCAATGCCCTCGCCGGGACTCTAACCTGGAGCTCTCGGATGCACGCCGAGTGTGCTAACCGTTACACCCCGAAGGCATGCAGAAAGGAGGAAGAAATACCTTACATACTCCCCCTTTTAAAGGGCGACTTGGGATTAGGGGACACAGTTGTCAAACCCGGGTGGTGAAGAATCATCATCCACCACCTTTTAGGGCGCCACTGTAGAGTCAATAAGATTTTTGAAGCGAGAGACATGAAACATAAGGAGTGCCATTGCCGGGACTCGAACCTGGACCTCTCGAATACGCGTCGAGTTAGCTACCGTTAACATCACGATGTCATGCAGAAAGGGAGTACAAATACCTTACAGACGGATAACAATAATCCGAATGACAACATAACCGCGATCATATTAAGCGTCATCCATTGTATTATAATTTCAAATATCTAAAATGCGATAAATTTATAGGAATGTTCTGCTTATTTGTTTTAATAACCTTGTAAAAGTCTGGCATTTTGCTTTTAAACTCTCATTTTAATTTGACACGCAGTTGATTATGAAAAGAATTTTACGAATGTACCTTTCCTGGACTATTCTAGAAGAAATTTTAAAATATCTCGGTTAGTTGCTTCTGCAGTAGAAATATTCTTGCAAATATTAAATCAGAAAAATAAACATGTATCATACATTTGTAGCATTCGTCGCATTAAAGTTAAGGCTATTCAAAACTTTTTATACGGAATGGTAATAATTTTTATCCTAAAATAAATTTATCATTATTCGCAACAATTCAAATTTGATTATACGAGGCTTTTCGAAGACCTCACTGAGATGTATCAGCACACAAATTATATACAGAAATATCATAAGAGAATCCGTAATGCATTTTCTGTAGCATAATGGAGAATTTAATGGATATCTATGATTAATGGCTTCTTAAAAAATCTATAAAAGTCTGCATTCCTTGGTGTATTTTTTTGTTATCTCGGGGACTCTCTACAATTCCAGGCAAAAACAGAATGTTAATGTTGTTTTCAAAACCCAAAACACACATATATTTATAAAGATTATTCAAATGGAATGCATCCAGGAACTAAGAACACCCGACGATGCACTGTTTAAAAAGACAGCCATTTTCTAGGATAAATTAATGCAGCGATTCAATGTTTCATTTCGGCAATAAATGTCTTTCCTTAATTAGCCATTTTGGCTTCCTCTCTTAGCAAATGTAAATTTAGTCTTTCAGATGTTCTGCTTCCGCAGTAGTTACCTCTTAATTCAGCACATCTTTGTGTAAAGCTCAAAATAGTTTGCGCGTGTTAACCCTTTCACAACCAGTTTTTTCTTTTTAAAAAAAAAGATAAATTAGGGGTTTATTAGGTAAAATAAAGTAGAAATAGCAATATTTTGCCCAATTATAAGCAAAAATTTACTGTAAGGGCCATTTGGAGGTGGGGACATATGTGTCCCACTGGTCTTTTTAGTTGGGACACATGTGTCCCATTGGGGTTGAAGTGACAATATAAAACATGTGAAAAGTTCAGTTTTCTAGTTCTAAATGAATTTCACAATACTTTTGAAAACAGTTTTATCAGAAAACACCTACCCTACACAACATTATTTATGAAATTTCTATGTAGGGTACATTGCAAAACAGTTTTTACATAGTGCAATTTTACACATGGCGCAAACAGTTTTGTTCGGGTTTCTTTATTTGTTTGGCACAGCGGGCACATCTTCTTCTTGTTGGCCCTTCTAATGGCAAATGATCTCCAACATTCAACATCAGTTTTGTTGCATTTGACGGTCGACCTGATTTCTTCCTCTTGACAATTGCATTTTCTTTGCCATGAGCAATCATTAATTCGGCTAGGGGGACAATGTATTGCAAGAGAGGTATTTTCCTATGTTTGGTTTCTTGAAACAATATGTGGCATTCACAACAGCTGTCATCAAAAGTTTATAAAATACTTTTTTCCACCATTTTGTAGATCGTCTGTCAAAAATCATATAGGCATATCTTTTGATCAGACAAATCTACTCCTCCCAAAATCTGTTATAGTCGGCAATAGCGGTAGGACATTTGTCATTACTTTTCTCCCATCTTTCTGCTTGCGTTTTACTTGTATGACATCAGGTCCGTGGCAATTACTCAGAATCAGAACTTCCTTTGAATCTTGCCATCTTGCTGCAAGAGTTCCTCTTCTATTCTGGAGAAATCTGAATCACTTTTTGAAATTTTTCGTCAGAGAATTTTGTCATGTCTTTTCTACGAGAAATACAAGTACCAACAGAAGGAAAGGATATGTTATCCAATAAGTTTGCACTTGTAAAAAATCTATCAAATGTAAGTGTAACATCTGGGTTACGTATTGTTGAGGAAAGTTTTAGAACAACTCTTTCTCCAAGTATTGTACCCTCATGATCTGTATTATCCATGTCTTTGCCAGAATATATATTGAAGTCAAAGGTGTAGCCCGTAGCAGCATCACATCTCTCCCACACTTTGATTCCCCGTTTTATTGGCTTTAGGGGTAAATACTGCTTTAGGCTAGAACGACCTTTGAATTTAGCCATGGATTCATCGATGCTTTGAAAGGGACTATCTTCGCGAGCTTGCATAAATGTCCTTTTGAAACATGCCACTTCATCCATATAATATGTCTTTGGAGCATTCGCATCTTTTTCTGGATCATTGAAGTACATTTTTGCAAAGAGCAATAGGCATCTGTACGGGAAATCGCATTTTTGATAGCTTCGTTTCCCAATGAAGAATTGCGGACCAATAATCTGAAAAGTTCGGTACTTGATTATACGACATGACAAGCATAACTCCCAACACAAGCATAATTTCTGAAGGGTCTGTGTCAGGAAATCTACTTTTTTTTCATGTCTCAGTATTTCAAGCCGCTGGTTGGTACATTGAGAAATAAAAATAAGAAGACTTCGTGGAAATACACATGAGAAACATTCTAATTCATTAGAGGATCTGTTGATTTTGGCCAGTATTGCAGTTGGACGGTCTTTAGATACATGGAGCCGTGGCTCAAAATTTGGACCAACATTTGACCAAATGACAGGATCAGTAGGTTTTGAAATAGTTTTTTTTTATGTTTATTTTTTGCCTTGCACTTATATTTTGATACCTGCTCCGCTTCATCGGGTGAGAAATCATCAGAGTCCGAGTCAACGGAAGGTTCTGATGAATGCTCAAGACATGGCAGCTTTCGTTTCGGTGCCCTTGATGTTCCTGAATTTTCTCTCAATTCTTCACAGCTATCACTGTCTGAGGAACTAGGGACATATTCCTTGTCTATATCTGAATCGTCCAATTCATCACTTGAATCCGGTTCATTCAATAATTTAATTATTTCTTCCTTTGTCAATCCCTTCCTGCGATCATGATATTGCTATGCCTAAAAAATACAGAAATGACCACTTTGAGAATGAGGCATAGATATATTTCAATAACCACTGGGACAATAATGTCCCAATAAAACAGACCATTGGGACATATATGTCCCACAATATTATTTTTTTTCAAAATCTACAATGAAAATTCACTTACTTCAAATAAATAAAACTGCTGATATGGCAAAAATAGACGAAAATACATACAACGACGAAAACAGCACGTGTGTCCACTCATGTATCTTCGCCTAAAATGGCTGCCAGAATGTCCAAACTTCCCGCTTTTCAAAAAATGTTACGATAAAAACAAAGAGCTCACAGGGCACTAGTGTCATCTATCGAGAAAAAATTACATTAAAAGGTAGATGTAATCACAGGAAACCAGTGGGACACTCGCGGCAATAAATTTTACGCTTGTTTTTCCCATTGGGTGATTTGGAAACATTTGCGGGACATATATGTCCCGGTGGGGCCGAAAGGGTTAAAATAGAATAATTTGACAACCTTTTATCATTTGGCTTCCTGGACAGTAATGGTGATGAATTAGCTTCATGTTACTCATTTATCTTCTGAGCATTCCAAGTTTGCTCTAGCAAATCCGGCTCTCGATCGAGACTTAAAATACTTAAAAACCAGTTGCTATTCATAATGGCTTTTCACCTAACATCATTGACCAAACGGTTAAAAAGTCTACTCTCGGCACATCGAAACGGCACACTTTCTCGTTTTAGAAAGATTATTAGAATTCTATTGTCATTCCTTTCTTCCCGTCGATTAGCTATAAAATTGCACGTATTTTACAGAAATTCAATTTCTCTTCAGTCAACAAAATTAGCATTTACGTACTTAAAGATCCCATTCCGGCTGTGAACTTGTTTGTGGAAAATGTCAACTTTCACTGGAGAATGTCAACATTCACCAAATACGTCGGTGAAAGGTCGAATATTGCATTATGCTCTGGTGTAGGTCGAAAAGAGAGGTCTTGTGCAATTCAAAGTGCCATAATAGTTTAAGTTGTTGCAATAAGTAAGATTTGAATCACATAATTTAGTAATTTTTTCATTACTATTATTTTATTTTCTCATTTAGAATGTACTGTATAATTAAGCAAGTTTTTAACTTCTATTATTTTCCTTTCTCATTTTGAACGTACTGTGTGTTTGAAGTTCTTATGTTCTTATTTTAAGTTTTAAGCGCGTTTTACCATCCAAAAAATTTTGCAGGGACCGGAACAAATAATAATCGGAAGGCGCCAGATCTGGAGAATATGGTGGGTATTGCAGTATGTCCCATTCAAGCTGTAAAAGCTTTTGGCGAGTGACCAAACTTGTATGAGGTCACGCATTATCCTGGTGGAACACTACACCCTTCCTGTTGGTTAATTCTGGCCTCTTCTGTTTAAGTGCATCATTCAATTTGTCCAGCTGATGACAATAGACTTCCGAATTAATAGTTGTATTGTCTGGTAAAAGCTCAAAAAAAATTCCTTTGAATCCCAGCAAACGGACAGCATCACCTTTTTTTGGTGAATGCTGGCTTTTGAAACGCTTTGAGCCGGTTCATCTTTTCTGCTCCATGACCTCTTGCGTTTCACATTGTTGTATACGACCCATTTTTCGTGTCCAGTAATAATACGCTTCAAAAATGGATCATTTTACTGACGTTTGAGGAGCGAATCACACACGTCAACGCGACGACACAAATTTCGCTACGTAAGAACATGGGTCACCCACACATCGAGCTTCGAGGTTAAGCCCAGGCCTTTCAAGTGGCCATAAACAGTCGAATTCGACAAATTTAACCTCTCACCGATCTCTCGTGTGGTTATTCGCCGATTTGCATCAACTTTTATCGCATCTTTGTCAGCTTCGACCGGCCTTCCAAACCGTGGTGCATCTTCGACATCAAAATTGCCGGATCGAAACACCAGTTCTGGCACTGGCGTACTGTTAACACGTCTTCTCCATACACATCCGTCAATTTTTTTCTCGCTTGGACAGCATTTTTACCTTTTCTGAAGTAAAAAAGTAAAATATGATGAAAATGCTGCTTATTGCTCTCCATATTTAAAAGAGCACCAACCAAAAACTAATGCGTAGAATTAATAGAACTTTTTCACACACAAGCCTTGTAATATCAGCTCTCAAGACATATAATGGTTATGCGGCTTAAGTGTGAAGTTGGTTTCGAAGAAATGTAATTAAGTCCTCTGACGGGAAAAAACGAAATTACTTTCCGAACAACCCAATATATAGAATTTTTGCCAGCTATGGTGTAATTTACATTGATGAATTAAAGAGAACCTTAAAGTATTGCTCGATTACCATGAGACAGTTAGGAAGAAACGCACACATAAATCCTCATTTTCCCAATACTGTTAATCAGAAAATCACATTTTCTATTTTTCCGCAGTCGAAATTATTCAAAAAAACATTTTCCGTTGGCGAATTAGGTTTTCTTTAAGAGTTTCACATTCATAAATATATTTCATTTCTAATTAACGATCTAAGTTCCATTCCTCCTCTAGCCTGAAGTTTTAAGGAAATTGCTTCGTAGTTGTTTTCAATTTTTGTCAATAAGTGGTGCCAGTAGCTCGACTTCCTTCTTTTTGTTGTTATACCCTGAGCATAGGCTTCTCTTTGAGCATTGGCACTTCTGGAAGCGGAAAAAGAAGGTTATGTGTTTAATCCTTCAAAACGCCGGAAAGATAAGATTACAGGGCAAAGTCCATTTAGCATTAAGGTAAACGGCAATCTCTCCACGCGTCAAACTGACGATGGTTTTGGCGACTAATTTTTGTCACCAAACTTAGCTACCTTTTGGTTCGTTCCCTGTATAAGTATAATTGATCTGATCCCTATAGGTAACTGTGTTATGCCTTCCAGTAATTTCGAGACATTGAAGGTACTGGTAATTTCTTGTCGGCGAGGGGAAAACTATATAAGACCACAGAGAGTATTAGATTTTAGTTTAGTTCAGAGTAGGCTTCGGAATATTGAGATATCTCCGTGCGAGATTCGACTTTGAGATGCGCTTTGAATTACGTTGGCTTTTGGCCTATAACAACGAGTCTGTCTCGTGGTAAAGAATTTCTGGCATAAACAAAAGTCACGTGTCTGACTCGTGGTGAGGAATTTGTGCGTACAATGCCGCGTATTATTATTAGAACAAGCGATTGGCGTTATTCTCTATCGAATATTTTTGCTTTGATTGTAACGTCAGTATTTTTATTTATTTACTTATTTTTTTAGTTTCTGATGAAACTGGATGATCTGTTATTTTAGTTTGTGCCCTGACACAGTTATCATGGGGCTAGCAGAGAACCACGATATGGCTGCCCAAACCATAACAGAACCCCCGCCATGTTTCACTTATAGCAACAAGCAGTCTGTATTATAGGCCTTGAGATGGCGTTCTCCAGACGTAAACTCGGCCAGAAGTGGGAAACAATGTGAAAGAAGACTCGTCAGACCATATTACTCGCTTCCACTGCTCTATAGTCCAGGCTTTATGACTTAAACACCACCTTTTCCTGTTACGGGCATTAGCATGACTGATGAGTGGCTTCTCAATTGCAGCACGTCCAGCAATTCCCTCTTTATGAAGCTCCCTTCTAATTGTTTTGGTACTCACAGGGTTCGATAACACAACATTAATTTCAGCAGTAACTTTTGCAGCTGTGGTCTTCTTATTTTTCGTCCCAATTGCTCTTAATGATCGTCTGTCACGATCACTCAGGACACACTTTCGTCCGCGCTGTGATTTAGCAGATGATGTTTTTCCGCTTTTCAAATATTCGGAATAAATCTTCGATACAGTACCTCTTGAAACACTAAACACCTCGGCTACCTTGCTTACGGAAGCACCTACCATACGTGCTCCAACAATTTGTTGCCCACGTTCGAAGTCTGCTAACTCTCACATAATGCAATGACAACCTCACATAACAGTACTCCAACAACAACTGAACTGTTTAGCACATTTACGAAGTTGTATAGGTGACGTCAGTAGTCAAAACGCCAGCGCCACCTACATATTTCATTAAAATCAGTCTTTCTTTTCAAACATGCATTTCACAAGGTGTTTCCATATTTTTGTCCATCCAATATTTAATAAAAAGGAAATAAATCTTTATGAACTGCCTTTGGTGGTTTTAATCTAGCAGTTTTTCCACTGTTGATAAATTTGTTAATGGACAAGCCGGCTATTGCAGCGTTTAAGCGTTCTGGGACGAAACATTTTATGAAACACATGTTACGTATACAGATAAAATATGAGAAACAGTGATCAGTGAT